ATAATTCACTTCCCAAGATTTGAGGGGCTTGCACTGGCTCCACCTCCTAGCCAATTATCTTTTTCCCAGGTTAGACTGATAGTCCTCTGTGGTGCACCTTCCCCTGCACCATTTTGACTTAACTGCACAGGTTCTTGTTTCCCCCAGCGTTCCCAGGCACACACAATCCTATACAAGAGGGGGAAGAGGAGGGGTGTTAGTCCCTTTGGAAGGACGATACTGTGATTACTTGGGGTATGAAGCTGTAGCTTGCAGGTAAAGCAAGCAGATCTCTGTTTCTCAGCTGAATATGCTAAACAATATCTCCTCCTTTGCTGTCTTTCCCACCAATGACTAGCTAACAATGGTAACATAATCAGTCAGAGAGTGGGTATATATATATATGACTCTTTTTCTTTTATTATGAGTTTTCTTAATGTTCCTATCATAGGCATCTACCCAATAATTTTTGGAAATGACTTTTGAGATAATCTTTATAAGCATAAATGCAAATTATATAATAGGTTGAGAGGGGGATTTGGTGCTATTCTTTAGTGGAATTGGTTAAATTTATACTATCTTTCCTGTTTAATTATTCATACAATTAAGTTACTTTTGATCATTTTTTATATCTTATTATTTATTTTTTGTTAATCCTCACCCAATGATATTTTTTCCATTGATTTTTAGAGACAGTGGAAGAGAGGGAGGGAGAGAGAAAGAGAGAGAAACATCTATGGGAGAGAGACACATTGATTGGTTGCCTCCACATGGGACTGGAAATTGAACCTGCGACCCTTTGGTCTGCGGACTGACATTCTAACTGCTGAGCCAAACCAGCCAGAGAATTTTTTAGATTTTTATAATGTAAAGTATTTTCTTCAAGTTTCTGCTGCTTATTGACCTCTGTGTCACAAAACCTTCTTATGTAGTGCAAAAACTTTAAATTCTGATTATGCATAAATGAGAGGTTTTCACTTTATTTTGCTTTGTGCAAGTTTCTTCATCACGTACTAAAACAAGACTTTTAGTGTTTAAGCCAAATAACCTTATTTAATAAAATCTAAATAAATGTTTGCTGAACTATAATAATTACGACTATTTATTAGACATGCAGCTGTACACCTTATGTAAGTTATCACATTTAATTCCTACACCAGGAGACAATGAGTACAACATTCCCATTTTAGAAGAAGTTTGAAGTGTAGAGAGGATAATAAATAATGAAAAATCCCAGGACTAGTAAGGGAGAGTTTTGGGATTTGAGTGTAGAACTTTCCTATTCAATTGTATTTTATTACTTCCTTAAGCAATGAATGGCCATACAAACTGGGTACTCTTGAAGGCCACTCTGTCTTCTAACCTGGCTTTTTACACAGTTCTTTCTCTGGTTATTATCTTGTTTGTTTTTCCCCAGATCATTTAGCATACATCTATGTACTTTTATTTCTCTATAATATGCTGATTAATTTATGTGTTCCCCTTTCTCTTCTGGTTTATTATTTTTTGAGAGAAAGCATTGTGTCATTCATTTTGTTTTGTTTTTCTTTTTCTTCTTTTGGTTTGAAATTATTTACTGTCATTAGTTCTGGTCTACAATATATTGTCAAATAACATTGTGTAAGTATAAGATGTACAGTGTGATGATTTGATATATGTGTATGTTATGGAACGTTTACCACAATAAGATTACTTAATACATCTGTCACCTCCCATAGTTCCCATGTATCATTTATGTTGGATATTCATTGTCTAGCACTGTGCTTGACACTTAATAAACATCTTTGACTGTATTGATTAATTTTAATCAGCTCTTGTATATTTATTTTCTCAGAAAAACACATCAAATTTATTTATTGAAATCAGAGAAATCATTTTTTAAGTGAATTGGTACAATACAATTAATAAATATGATATGTAGTAGAGAAATGATTGCTGATTTGCATAATAATGGAAAAATTTGTACATTTGTTTCCTTAAAAATAATCATCTAGGGAGATAACATTATTCTAAAAGTGTGGCTATTTGTTCAGATCTAATTGGAGCTTGTTTTTATTTCCTCAAAATTTATGGAACACTCTTTGAGTATACTGTATGGTAATAAGACAATCATAAAGTTTCAGAATATTTCTGTATAATCTTCCAAGGAGATATCGTCAGTTGTGTGAACTCTAATTTTTTTTAAGTTATTTATAATATATCTTAAATATCAGTTTACTTTCTCCACAATGCTGAACTGTGAGGTTTAAGCAGTATTTCCATCTTCCTTTTTTTTTTTTCTTAATAAAGACTATATTTTTAGAGCAGTTTTAGGTTCATAGTAAAATTGAGAGGAAGGTACAGAGATTTTCCATAGGAAGGTACAAGATTACCCCTTGCCTCAAACATGTATAACCTCCCCCCAACCCCCCATCCTCTACCAGGTGCATTTGTTATAATGGATGAACCTACATTGACACATTATCACCCAAAATCCATAGTTTATATTAGGGTTCACTCTTGGTGATGTACATTCTGTGGGTTTGAGCAAATATATAATCACATGTATCCATCATTATACTATCATACAGAATATTTTCTCTAGCCTAAAAATCCTCTGTACTGTGCATATTTCTCCCTCCCGCTACCTCTACCCCCCCTCTAACCCCTGGCTCTACTGAACTTTTTATTGTCTTCATAGTTTTGCCTTTTACAGACTGTCATATGGTTAAAATCATACAGCATGTAGCCGTTTCAGATTGACTTCTTTCACTGAGTAATATGCATTTAAGTTTCTACTATGTTTTTACATGGCTTGGTAGCTCATTTCTTTTTAGCACTGAATAATATCTGACGAATATACCAGTGTTACCTACTTAAGGTCACCTTGGTTGCTTCCAAGTTTTACCAATTATAAATAAAACTGCTGTAAACATCTGTGTGCGGGTTTTTGTGTGGATATAAGTTTTCAGCTCCTTTGGGTAAGTATCAAGAAGCATGATTACTGGATCACATGGTAAGACTGTGTTTGGTTTTTTAAGATGCTGCCATCAAACTGTCTTCCAGAGTGAATATACCATTTTGCATTTCCAGGAAATAAATGAGAGTTTCACTTGCTCCACATCCTCAAAAACATTTAACATTGTCAGTGTTTTGGGTTTCAGAACTCATAATAAAGTTTAGTAGTATCCTATTGTTTAAATTTGCGATTTCTAATGCCATATGGTGTGGACCATCTTTTCATATACTTATTTGCCATTTTTACACTTCTTTGGTGAGGTATCTGTTCCGTTTTTGTCCATTTTTTTAACTGGGTTGTTTGTTTTCTTATTGTTAAATTTTAAGACCTCTTTATATATTTTGGTTAATGGTCTTGTGTGTGTTTATATCCTAGAAATAACTTTTCCCAGTCTGTGGCTTGTGTTCTCATTCTCTCAATATTGTTTTTCACAGAGTAAGTTTTTAATTTTAATGAGGTACAGTTTATTAACACTCTCTTTCATGGATTGTGCCTTTGGTGTTCTATCTAAAAAGTCCTTGCCAAACTCAAGGTCATCTGGATTTTCTTCTCTGTTATCTTCTAGGCATTTTATAGTTTTGTGTTTTAACAGTTACATCTGTAATAGATTTTGAGTTAATTTTGGTGAAGAGTGTAGAGATACTTAATTTTGTGTCTAGATACTTTTTGTTTGTTTGTTTGTTTGTTTGTAGATACCAGTTTCCATCACCATTTATTGTAAAGACTATCTTTTCTTCATTGAGTTGCCCTTGCTCCTTTGTTAAAGATCAGGTGACTATATTTGTGTGTTCAATTTCTGAGTTATTTTCTGTTCCATTGATCTCCTTGTCTATTCTTTGACCAATACCACACTGTTTTGATTACTGTAGCTTTATAGTAAGGCTTGAAGTCATTTCTCAAACTTTGTTCTTGCCCTGGCCGGTTTGGCTCAGTGGTTAGAGTGTCGGCCTGCAGTCCTGAGAGACCCGGGTTCGGTTCCCGCTAAGGGCGCGTACCTCGGTTGCAGTTTGTCCCCGGCCTTGGTTGGTTGTGCGGGTGGCAGCCACTCGATGTGTTCCTTTCTCACATCGATGTTTCTCTCTCTCTCTCTGTTCCTCTCTCTCCCTCCCACTCTACCTGAACAAAAAATGTCCTCGGGTGAGGATAAAAAAAGAAAAAAAAAAAAAACTTTGTTCTTTTCCTTCAATGCTGTGTTAGATACTTGCATCTTCTTCTGAACAACATATATTAGTGTAAAATGAAAGTCCTGAAGACTAAATATTAGAATTGTATTACTACCTTATGCTTACAAGATGCTAAGTGAATATTGTATTTGAAATGTATACTCACCAGAGATTCTTGTTTATTGGTGGGAAGAAGAGATGGAGGTAGGGAGCAAACTTGCTGCATGTTAATGGTAACCATACCTGTAAATGTCATTTCCTGCTATTATTAAAAGTTCATAATCAAATTCACATTGTTTAGAGTCTAAATGGCAAGATAAAAATGAACACCTATATGAATATAACGAATGATATTTTAAATGACATCAATCTTATTCACTGTACATAATAGTTCTTCCATTCTTATTTATGTTGACATTTTTATAATGAGGGCTCTTATGCTGGGTGATTGATGATTAAACTTTAAGAAGATGTATGAAACGCACAAATCACAGAAATGTTTTTCAAGTGTAAGATTAATAAATAAAATATATTTTTCTTCTCATGAAATGTTAAAATGAGAGGACTAATATTTAGTCTTTTAGAGGACAGTTTGTTTTTTTAAGATCATTATATGAAACATTGTTAATGCGGTGAAGGGAATTATTTAGTACTGTATGGCACACAATTATGTTTACATCTGATGCCTGAGGTGTTTTCCATTATTCATTGATCTTTCAGGACCTAGCACTTTACCTTGCATCATGAAAATCGATGATAGAGTGTGTGGATAGAGTATATAAACAATGATCTTATATATACTTTTTATTTCTTCCTGAAAATATAAATTCCCCAATGTGTATTTAAATTCTTTATTATAGTTGGTGTCTAAAGGAGTAAAGGGTTCTGATATGTCTCCTCCTCTGGGACAGCATGAAGCAGGTGGCTCACCATCAAAGCATCAGATAAGATCTGTTATTTCTGTGACTTCAGCTTTGAAAGAAGTGGGTATGGTAAGTTTCCTAAAATGTAGAACTCCTTAAAGTCAAAGATTAAATTTAATAAAATTATGTTAATTTCTAATGTTTCATTAGGTTTTTCTAGGAATAAAATTACTTAAGATTTCTTTGTATGTTTAACTCTGCATATCGGAGCCTTGCTGCTCATAAGCTTTATATCTAGGACCACCTGGTAGATAAAACTATATTAAAATGATATTCTCTCTCTCTCTCTTTTACTTTAAAATAATATTGAACAAATAAAATATATATACAAATGTACCAAAAATAAAGCAAAAACATTTTTATACCCCAGCTTTCACAATTAACAAAGATTCACTTTTTAAGATCTAATGTCTCTCTGGTACTTAAAGTAACTAATTCTAGGAATAAAGTTTAAGACATGTTTACATTTATTTTAAATTCTTTGGCATAGCAAATATTAGAGGACTCAGTATAATTACACTTAATGGACTAATTATTTCCTTTATCTTCTATTTCTGAATCTCTTTCATGCCATATGGATACTAAAACACAGATATGTGGGCTAGTGTACACAGTCAAAACTCAGAAGTATGTATCAGGTGTCCATCTAAAATGTGAAAATTCTGTTCTGAGGTTAAGGCAGACGGACTCATGATGTGGCATTTCAGTCTAGAATTCATCAGACAGAAGGGAGAAAGTCTCCTGAATCATATCATTAACATATTAACCTGATTTTCTCCTTTCCTGGTATTTAAAGTCTGTGCCTTTTAATTGTTGAGTTTCATTAAGTTTTTATAGACAACATTGGTGTCATTAGCACGCCGATTTTTACAGCCTTTGTGTTTATCTTGAAATTAAGACTGAGTAGAAAAATACAGCTTTCTTGGTCACTCTCAAGAACTTCGTAGAAGAAACTTGTTCTTCAAGTAGGTTTAGTCTCTTTTCTTTCTGATAACGACTTTGCATGTGCTACGTTGTTCACTTCAACTTTAGATACCACTGTGTGGTTCCCTCCTGGTACCCAGTCTCACATCTCAAGTAGCTGTTCATCTCTCTGGTTGTAGTGACTGCTAATTCCTGACTGCTTTACTGGGTAAAATGCTCTTTGTCTCATTACATGTATTGCTTTAAAACTGACCACTATGCTCTTTTGTATTTTTCTCAAATACTGCAAATTGAGGTAATTCATGTAACGAAATGGTTTTTCTTTATGTGTTTTCTTGGTAAATATTGCTTACTCACAACTTTGAAAGTTGCGCTTCCATACTCTGGGTCTCCCAGATACCTTTGCTTTCACACTACTAATTTCTTCTTTTCATATATTTAAAAATTCTAGGTATCTAAGATTGCTATGATTTTACTAATCAAAAGATAGCATTTATATTATCATTAGTACATGAGACTCAGAACTCACTAGTGTTACTTTCTTTGCTTAGGGAAAAAAGCCAGTTCTCAATTATGTTTAGTAGTATTGCTTAATAAGCATACATATGTACATGAAACAAAGTTTCAGAATAACACAGCCTATCTTAAATTACTTTATTCATCAAAACTTTCCTTAGCTCTAATTAAGAGCGTATGTGAATTAATTTTTTTAAATTTCTATTGTTGACTTAAAATTACCAAAATAATATATATATCAGGTGCCACAGAGGAAGAGGATATAGTTAAGCATGTGATCATTGATTCAAAAGTATTGACAAATAATTGAGAATTAGCTCTTTTAACTATTACTTGAGCATACTTAACTGTGTCTCACTGCTGATAATGAAGGAAGTTGTGTTAACATTTACAGGAATAAAATAATTCACAAGGAGCAATTTAATGAAAAACAAAAAGTAACAAAAATTTTAATATAAAATTTTAAAATAATTATTTTTTACTCTAAAACTATCTGTGTTTAAAGGACAGAAGTTTAACTGATACCCAGGAAACCTCAGAAGAAATGCAAAAGACTAACAATGCTATCTCAGTAGGTACAATTTTTCACTTTTTTCCTCAATCATTTTACTTAATCATATACATCATAAAACACAGTATTTTAACTGTTTCAGAGTAAGCGAGAAATACTGCGGAGATTAAATCAAAATCTTAAAGCTCAAGAAGATGAAAAAGGGAAGCAGTGTCACTCTGAGATGGGTGAGGTCATTGTTGGTGAAGATGCCACAGAGCGTGAAAAAGAAAAGTCGGTTTCATCTGATCGCAAGAAATGGGAGGCAGGAGGTCAACTTGTGATTCCTCTGGATGAATTTACATTGGATACATCCTTCTCTGCAACTGACAGTATGTATAAAAGTATATATGACCTACTCTGGTCTAGCACACATGTAAACTTGTAGACTGGACACTGAGGGATAAAACACTTTAGTGGGATTGAAGGAAGCTGGAATAATTTCACATATATGGGAAAAAAACTATTCAACTTAAGACTTGCAAGTATTTTTATTACAAAAGTGTAAAGTGTGAGAGAGCAAACTAATGATATGTACTAATTAAATTGCATTACTTTAACCCTTTCTAATCTGTTTCCAGGAATAAGTCGTGATGAGAAACCAGAGTAGTAAACTTTGACAAAATCTTAGAAAGGTCCCTTAGGCATTTAGCAGGAATATTAAAAAGCTCTCACTTACTAATTTATTTATTTAGCAATAATTACTGAGCACCTACTGTTGTCTTTCCTTTTCCTACACACTAGATAGAGATTTTATAGTGAATGAATAAAATCATTTGTGCTCTTTGGAGCTTACATTGTAAAAGAGTGAATCTGGTTCAGCAGGTGTGGCTCAGTGGTTGAACGTCGACCCATGCACCCAGAGGTCGCTGATTCCCAGTCAGGACATGTGCCCAGGTTGTGGGCCAGATTCCCAGCGGGGGCATGCAGGAGGTGGCCAGTCAGTGTTCTCTCTCATTGATGTTTGTATCTCTCTCTCCCTCTCTCTTCCTCTCTCTCTAAAATCAGTAAAGAAAACAAAAATTTTTTTAAATAATAAAAGAGTGAGTCTGACCATTAACTAACTAAATACCATTTTAAGTAAATTTTGTTGTTGTTGTTCAGATAGAGCGGGACGGAGAGAGAGGAAGAGAGAGAGAGAGAAACATCGATGTGAAGGGACACATCGAGTGGCTGCCACCCGCACGACCAACCAGGGCCGGGGACAAACTGCAACCGGGGTACGTGCCCTTAGCGGGAACCAAACCCGGGTCTCTCTGGACCGCAGGTCGACGCTCTAACCGCTGAGCAAAACCGGCCAGGGCTTAAGTAAATTTTTTGATGGATTATTTTCATAGAATTCTTTCTTGTCCTGGAGAAAAGCCCAAAGATTTCTACAGTATTAATTTGTTTACTTATTTAACAATTCTTTATGCCGTCCCATTTTATGCATCATACTCCCCTAAGCAGTGAGGATAATGGTTAAGACATATTCTCTCTACTCAAGAAGCTTAGGGTCTAGTGGAAAGGGAGGCAAGTAAAGAGGCAATTAATTATAGTTGTTAAGTAATATTGTAGGAAATAATCATAAGGTACTGTAAGAATATGTATTAAGGCATAAATTAGTCTTGGGAGAGCTAAGAAAATGATTTTGGGGAGAGCTAAGAAAAAGTGATATGTTAAGGAATAAAATGTGTTAGCTAAATAAACCAAAAGTCAAGCAGAGTGTTTTCAGCAGAGAATTAGTAGGACCGAAAAGTCAAGAGCATGAAGCTCAGGGAACTGGATATAATTCAGCATGGATGGCAAAGTTCAGAAATCAAGACAAAGTATGGCCAGCAAGATACCTTGGAAGAGGTAAGCAGGGCCAGATCATGAAGAGTCCTATACATTGGCTCAAACAGTATGAACTTACCCTGAGTGAGGGAGAAGTCTTTAGAGCACTGTGCCATTTATGGGTTTCTGGCATGTTGAATCCTGACTGGGGAATACTGGACGGGGGAAAATGGTAATTTACCACCAGTTTGGTGGTACTTTGAATTTTTGTCATCTTCCCTAGTGTGGCTGCTACTGTTTGCATCTCAGAGTTCTCAAATTGTTGCTTTATGCTTACACCATCTTCCCAAGAATTTGAACTCTAATGATCCTTAATGACATTTAAATACTAAGAAAATTAGTCTTTTTATATTTATCTGTGTAGTGACCATTTCTTGTATTCTTAATTTCTTTGTTTAGATTCACATATCCATGTAGTATCATTTTCCTTCTGACTAAAGGACTTCTTTTAACATTTCTTGCAATGCAGCTGATAGATTCTTTTAACTTTTGTATACTGAAAAGTACTTTACCTTTATTTTTAAAAGATATTTTCTTTGGGTATAGAGTTCTAGGTTGGCAGTTTTGTCTTTTAGAACTTTAAAGATGTTGCTCCATTGTCTTCTTACTTGCATTACTTCTGACTAGAAATCTGATCCTTATCTTTGTGCCTCTCTACATAACATGGCATTTTTTGTGTGTGACTGCTTTTAAGATGTGTCTCTATCATTGGTTTTGAGTAATTTGTGAAGAACCTTATTGTAGTTTCCTTCACGTGTTTTTTTTTTTACCCCTTTGGGTTTGTTGAACATCTTGGATTGTGGGTTTATAGTTTCCATCAAATTGGACATTTCTTTGCTAATATTTTTTCTGTGCCGTCTCCCTTTTCTCTACTTTAGGGACTACAATTTCACATGTATTAAGCAGCTTGAAATTGTCCCATAGCTTCATGATTTATTTTTTAGATTCCTTTTTTTCTATGTGTTTCATTCTAGATAGTTTCTATTGTTGCTTTTGCTTCAAATTCACTTATTTTTTTCTGCATTGCCAAATCTACTGTTCATCTTAGATATTATAGTTTTATCTTTAGAAAAAGATTTGCACTATATGCCCTGGCCAGTTTGGCTCAGCGGTTAGAGCGTCAGCCTGCGGTCCGGAGAGACCCGGGTTCGGTTCCCGCTAAGGGCACGTACCTCGGTTGCAGTTTGTCCCCGGCCCTGGTTGGGTCATGCGGGTGGCAGCCGCTCGATGTGTCCCTTTCACGTCGATGTTTCTCTCTCTCTCTCCCTTCCTCTCTCTCCCTCCCACTCTATCTGTACAAAAAATGGAAAAATGTCCTCAGGTGAGGATAAAAACAAACAAACAAACAAAAAAAAAAAGATTTGCACTATATATGAGGGTTGGCAAAAGTAGGTTTACAGTTGTGAGTACATGAAACACAGCATTTATTATTGTACTGTTATTTCTTCTTGTATTATATATTTTTCCATACAAACAACTGTAAACCTATTTTTGCCTATCTCTCTCTCTCTCTCTCTCTCTATATATATATATCTGCCATGTCTCTACTTGTGAGCATATAAAATACAATTATAAAAATTTTATTAATGCCTTTGCCTGCTGTTCTAACATTTGTCTTAGTTCTTGGTCCATTTTGATTAGTTGATTTTTCTCCTCATTATTGGTCATACTCTGCTGTTTCTGTGTATGATTGGCAATTTTTTATTGGATGCCAGACGACGTGAATTTTACTTTGTTGGGTGCTTACATATTTTTGTGTTTCTATTGTTATTATTCTGCAGCTTTGTTCTGGAATGCAGTTAAGTTAGTTGGGCTCAGTTTGATCCATTTATGTCTTGTTTTTAATGTTAATTAAGTGAAATCAGAGCCATTTCTAGTGAAAATTACTCCCCACTATAGAGTTAAAAATCTTCTGAGTACCCAGTGCACCATGAATTATGATTTTCCAGTTTGGCTGGTGGGAACAGGCAATATTTCATGTCCTATGTTCCCTGTATTCTTTTTGGGTGGTTCGTTTTCTTCCTTAGGTAGTTTTCTCACAATTTTACTCAGATCGCAACGCTACTGAATACTCAAGGGGTACCCTCTGCAAATCTTTGGAATTCTCTTTCTACTTGCCTTGGTCTCCCAAGAATCCCACCTGTAACCCCTGAGCTTGGGGAGTCTACTGGACTCTGCCTAGAACTACTGAACTGCAACCTGGAAATTTCCTCAAGACACAGCAAAGTGTGGCAGTCATAGGGATTGTCTTGTTTGTTTCTTTTCTCAGGGATCCATGTTCTTCATTACCCATTATCCACTGTCTTGAAGTTGTTGTTTTATGTATTTTGCCCAGTTGTTTTGGTTACTGAGGCAATAGCATAACTCTGGTGAGCCTATTCCATCTTACTCAGTTAAAAATCCTTGAGACTAGTTTTTAGGAGCTTCATACTAATATGGACAAAAATTATTGATAACCTTAACTAACTTACTGAAAGATAATAAAGAAAAGAGGACATTTTTAAGATATACTTGGGGATAGGCCTATAAGGACTTTATGTGAAACTCTTCTAAGAGTTTATCAGAGGAAGAAGAACTTTGAAAAGAAAGGGAGGAACACTTAGAGTTAGAAAAATTGAGAGTCTGGCATGGATTTCAAGGAAGAAGAGAAGACTTCAGGAAAAGCAATGACAGGTTGAGGACTAAAAAGTTTACACTGCTTTTGTCCAGGAAGAGGTATTGTGACTTTGATAAAAGTAGTGTCATCAGAGTACCAGGGCAGAAATAGAGCCCAGGAATTAAAAAGCAAATGAAAGGTAAGGAAGTAAAAAAAAAAAAAAAGTCTAGAACCTTTTAAGGAAGCCGAGCTATGAAGGGCAAGAGAGATGTGAGCTAGTGTTACTTGGCAGCAATTTAGTCAGTGAAACCTTATGAAAAAGAGATTTGAACGTATTTTATGCTAATTAGAAGGGCAAAGTATATCACGCTACTCTCCCATTTTAAAACCTAATTGATTTTCACGGCAATTAGAATAAAAATCCAAAGTCCCTTTCACAGTCCACTAGGCTCCCTGTGGGTTTCCATGGTCTATCGACACTCTCCATTTCTCTCTACTTACTCACTTCTCACTTCTTAAAGCATGCCCAGCTCTTTCTGTTTCTGTTATTCTTAATTCTTTATTCTTCTGTATTCATGTGTCTTATTTCTTCTCGATGCTTTTTATATTTTCCCCCTAAAACTTGGTTTTAGTAAATTTGATTATGATGCACCTTTGTGTCATTTTCTTCGTGCTTCTTTTACTTGGGTTTTGTTGAGCTTCTTGGATTTGTGAGTATATAGTTTTTGTCAGGTTTGGAAAATTGTTTGTTTGCCATTGTATTTTCCAGCCCTTCTTTCTAGAAGTTCAGTATGGATCTTGTTAATGTTTTTCTTATTTGTAATTATCACTAGTCTTGTCTCTAGTTTGTTGAACATATGAAATTCAGTCATGATAACAAATACAAATGTCCCTGCCTGCTAATAATATCATCTTAGCCATTTTGGGGTTGGTTTTGATTGGTTGATTTTTTTTCCTCTTTATTATAAGTTGAATTCTCCTGTTTTTGTACAGGCTTGGTAATTGTTATTTGGAGACCAAGCAGTTAATTTTCTTTTGATGGGTGCTATATACTTTTGTGTTTCTATAAATATTCTTGTTTTCTTGTTCTGAGACACAGTTCACTTGTAAATAGCTTGACCCTTTTATGTTTTGCTTTTAAACTTTGTTAGGTGGAAACAGAACAATGTTTAGTCTGTGGCTAATTTTTCTCCCTTTACTGAGTCTAAAATCTTTCTGAGTAATGTACTTGATGCCTTGTGAATTATACAGGATTTCCATTTCTGGCTGATGGGAATAGGAACTATTTCTAATCCTGTGTAAAGTCCCAAGTATTGCTCCCTCTCCTTTCAGGTGGTCTTTTTTCTAGACTACAATAATTTCCTTACACACACGCTGATCATTATTTAGCTTAAGGCTCAAAGGGGCTCTTTACAGTTCTTCTGAATTCTCTATTTGTTTATTTTTCTACCCTTCAGTACTCTTCTTGCCAACACTAGCCACTTTTGCCACCCTAGATTTCCAATTCTATCACCTCTGATCACAGAGACCACCAGTGCCATCTGGTTTTCCCTCCCTGCATGGAAGGATATGAAGTAGATATATATTTAAAAAAATTTTTTCTTTATTGATTTTAGAGAGAGAGGAAGGGAGAGGGAGAGAGAGATAGAAATATCGATATGAGAGAACACTGATTGGTCGCCTCCTGCATGCCCCCACTGGGGATTTGGCCTACAACTTGGGCATGTGCCCTGACCAAGAATCAAACCAGTGACCTCTTGGTGCATGGGTCGATGCTGAATCACTGAGCCACACCGGCTGGGCGGAATATATATATTTTCATGTGGACATGCAGTTTTCCAGTTTCATTTGTTAAAGAGACCCCCCCCCACCTCCACAATTAGATTACTTTGGGATCTTTGTCCAACACCAAGTAGCTATAAGTCATAGGTCTCTTTTGGGGTTCTCTAGTCTATTTAACCATCTTTTAGTTAAAAAAAATTTTTTTTTATCCTCACCCGAGGACATTTTTTTATTTTTGTTCAAATAGAGTAGGAGGGAGGGAGAGGAAGAGAGAGAGAGAGACAAACATCAACGTGAAAGGGACACATCAAGTGGCTGCCACCCACACAACCCAACCAGGGCCGGGGACAAACTGTAACCAAGGTACGTGCCCTTAGTGGGAACCAAACCCGGGTCTCTCTGGACCGCAGGTCGACGCTCTAACCTCTGAGCCAAACCAGCCAGTGCTATTTAACCATCTTTTAAAGAAATTGGTTTCCTGTTGGTAAGAATTTCAGTTGCATAAACTGATTATTACCTGCTAATTTGCAGGTACTTACTTTGATGGAACTGGTACACAAACATTTGTATCAGTGAGTATTTGGGTACCATTGAACATTTATGACTTATACCCCATAATATTTGAAATTATATCCTTCTCGTACTGCTAGATGCCTATGTGCTAAATGTATTATTAACTAACATTCTAAAGACTCAAACTTCAGTAGATGATTTTCCATTTTTTTGCTTTCCCAAATTTTATTTTGAAAGTTAACCCAAAATTATTATTTTCAAAAAAAGTGTCAGTTGCCTACTTAAGATTTATTTGATAAAATAAAACAAAATTTCTTAGTTATACTTTCCTCTGCTTTGAATCCACAAGTGCATTTATTTATCTTAGGATTTGTTTTCTATTCTCTTCAATTAAATTCATAGAAAAAAATATTAATTTCTATTTTATCTTTTTTGTATTCCCTCCAATAATTGCTCAAGTATCTTAGTTTTTTATTTTCTCAAGTAAAATTTAATAAAAACAATATTTTTTCTATTTTTATAGACCCTAAAACTAGAGTTTAATTTCTTAGTATTTAAAAAACAATTATAGATAAGTTTTTATTAGTAGTTTCAGTTGCTTCTCTTCTTTCTATCATTCATCATTCATTTTTTAAAAGTCTTTTTAAACATCATCATGTTTATATCATTGTGATAAAACCTTTATTTCTCATGGAGCACTCAGTTGGATGGAAGACCTTAAATCTGGCTTATAATGCAGTATTATGTTATTTCATTAAAATTATTGTATCTTTTTCTTATAGGACATACAATGGGAGAGGTTATTAAATTAGATCCTGGAGGATCTCCAAGAAGAGTCTGGGGGAAAAGCCCTACAGATTCTGTTCTAAAGATACTTGGAGAAGCTGAACTACAACTTCAGACAGAACTTTTGGAAAACACAACCATTACAAATGGTAAGCAAAAACCAGTTGTTTTTCTATACTGGAAGTAATATTATTAAAGATTAAATTAAAAGCTGTGGTATATTTATACAATGGAATACTATGCAGCTATAAAAAACAAGGAACTCTTACCCTTTGTACAGCATGTATGGACCTGGAAATTATTATGCTAAGCAAACTAAGCCAGTCAGAGAATGACAAATAACAGATGCTCTTACTAATGTGTAGAATCTAATGAACAAAATAAACTGACAGACAAAATAGAATCAGAGGCATGGATACATGGAACAGATTGACAGATGTCAGAGAGGGATTAGTTAAAGAACATACATGCATTGCCCATGGACACAGACAATAGTGTGGTAAGGGCCAAAGGAGGGGGAGTGGGGTCCGGGTGGAGGTGGACAATGTGGGGGGAAATGGAGGACAACTGTAGTAGTGTCAACAATAAAAAATTTAAATTAAAAAAATGGTTGCTTTTAGGTAGAATCTGGTGGTAGGGATGTAGGAAGGAGACTTCTCACTTATACAACCGTGTCTTTTGAACTTTGTACCATATGAAAGTTTTCTCATTACAAAATAAAATATTAAAAAATATTGAATTGTATTTTTAAGATGTGTTTGTAATAGAATTTTTTTGTTCTAGTAATTTTCTAGTTAGATGGTTTTGTTTTCTAAGGAATTGTCTCAGATGGTAGTCTTGAGTTTTGATCTGCTATAACATAATTGGGATCTAAAAATAAAAGGAAAAGGAAATGTGTATGGGGGGAGCCAGAAAACTAGAATAGTCAAAACAATGTTTTATATGAAGAAAGATATAGGAGCGTTGCATTGAAATGAATGGCATATGTTTTAGTGTGGATTCAGGAATTAGGTCTACTAAAGACTAAAAGATATCTGTAGCAGGTATGACAGACACTATCCTAGGACAGGAAGATGAGTTCTTGTGCAGAAAACACTTATGACCCATGAGTGTGTTGGGGCTCAGTATTACATTTATACATAACGAAGAGTGTCAGCACCTGGCTGAAGTGGCTCAGTTGGCTGGAGCATTGTCTTGTGCACCTAAAAGGTGCCACCAGGTTCAGTCCCTGATTTGAGCATGCATGGAGGGCAACCAATCAATGTTTCACTCTCTCTGCCTCTCTCTAAGCAAGTCCTTGGGTGCGGATTTAAAAAAGAAGAAGAGTGTGTGTATGAAACAAGTATTTTTAAATTTAACAGATTATTCAAATGAAGAGGAAGTTGAATCTAGCATCTTTTAAAGTTGTGTTTAGGCATAAATGTGTGTTCCTCCATTCTTTTTTTCTTTTAATCCTCATCGGAGGATATTTTTTGTTTTTTTTTTTAAATCCTCATCTGAGAATATTTTTTCCATTGATTTTTAGAGACAGTTGAAGGAGGGGGAGAGAGAAATGTCAATGTGAGAGAGACACATTGATTAGTTGCCTCCCACATGACCCCAACCAGGGCTAGGGATTGAACCTGCAGTCCAGGTACATGCCTTTGACTGGGAATTGAACACATGACCGTTTGATCCACAGCCATACTCTAACCACTGGCCACGGCCCGAGGATATATTGTTATTGATTTTAAAGAGAGAGGAAGGGGGAGAGAGAGAGAAACATTGATATGTTGCCTCCCATATGTGTCCCTAAAACCCACAACCTGAGTTTGTGCCCTGACTGGGAAACAAACCTGCCACCTTTTGGTGTTCTGGTAATACTCTAATGAACTGAACCACACCAGCCAGCTTTTGCCCATTTCTTAATAGGGTTGTTTGTTTTTGTTGAGTTCTAAGAGTTCAATTTCTTTTTTTCTTTATCCTCACCCTAGGACACTTTTCCATTTTTTGTTCAGACAGAGTGGGAGGGAGAGAGCAGAAGAGAGAAAGAGAGAAACATCGACGTGACATGGACACATCAAGTGGCTGCCTCTCGCACGACCCAACCAGGGCCGGGGGCAAACTGCAACCGAGGTATGTGCCCTTAGCAGGAACCGAAACCGGGTCTTTCTAGACCGCAGGCTGACGCTCTAACTGCTGAGCCAAACCGGCCAGGGCTAAGAGTTCAATTTCTTATTGTTGAGTTCTAAGAATTCTTTATGTATTTTGTTTAACGGTCCTTTGTGTGTTTATATCATTTGCAAATAATTTTCCCCAGTCTGTATGTAGCTTGTGTTGTCATTATCTCAACAGTGTCTTTCACAGAACAAAATTTTTAATTTTAATGAAGTATAGTTTATTAATTCTGTCTTTCATGGATTATGCCTTTGGTATACTATCTAAAAAGTCTTTGCCAAACCCAAGATCATCAGGATTTTTTCCTGTTACCTTCTAGGAGTTTTATAGTTTTGTGTTTAGCATTTAGGTTTATGATTGATTTTGAGTTAATTTTTGTGACATGTGTAGGGTCAGTGTCTGGACATGTTTTTTGCCTATAGATGTCCAATTGTCCTGTACCATTTATTGTAAAGACTATCCTTTCTTCATTGAATTGCCTTTGCCCCTTTATTAAAGATCAGTGGACTATATTTGTGTGATCTGTTTCTGAGTTCTGTTTGTTCTATTGATCTGTTTGTCTCTTCCAGTAATGCATTACTGCAGCTTTTACAAAGTCTTGATTACTGTAGCTTTTAGAATTCTTGAGGTTGGGTAGTACCATTCTTCCAACTTTGTTCTTCTTCTTTATTATTGTGTAGGGTATTCTGAGTCTCTTGCCTCTCCACATAAACTTTAAAATTAGTTGATCAACATTCACAAAATAACTTGCTAGGAATTTGATTAGGATTGTATTGGGAAGAACTTACATCTTGACAATACTGAATCTTTCTGTCCAAGAACATGGAATATCTCTTCATTTACTTAGTTCTTCTTTGATCTTTTTCATCAGAGTTTTAGTTTTCTTCATTGTGTAGTGTTCCCCCAAACTCAATTTTAAGAAAGTGTTTGTAAGTTACAGTTTTTACTTTTGTTTCTTTAGTCTACTGAGGGGCTTATGCTGTGTGTACTTTGGATCTTCTTTGCTGTTCTCTATCTTTCACTTTATCTTGAATCCTTTTTGTTGCTTTTAAATTTTATTTTCAATTACAGTTCACAGTGTCTTATTTCTTTTTTCTCTTGTTCACCTTCCATATCTCTTAAGACATTGTGTCTTTTGTTTGTGTGATCTTTGTTTATTTTATCATCTTTATTTCTAAGATTTTTATCCTAGTCTTTCCTGAGCTCAGTCAACCGTCTCATTCCTGCTTATTTTTTCATGTAATTTATATTGTTCTCTTGTATCTTATATCATGTTCTTCTGTTGTTGTTGTTAATCCTCACCTGAGGATATTTTTCCATTGATTTTTAGAGAGAGTGGAAGGGAGGGAGGGAGAGAAAGAGCAAGAGAAACATTGATGTGAGAGAAACACATCAATTTGTTGCCTCCCGCATGACCTAGACTGGGGCCAGTGATCGAACCTGCAATCTAGGTATGTGCCCTTGGCTGGGAATCGAATCCGTGACCCTGCAGTGCATGGGCTGACACTAACCACTGAGAAATACTGGCCAGAGCTCTTATGTTATGTTCTTAATGTTTCTGGTTGATTTAATTGTTTTGTTTTTTTAAATTATCTTTATTGTTGAGAGTATGACAGATGCCCCCCCTTTTCCCTCCTATTGACCCCTTCCACCCTGTGGGTTACTAAATTTAATTTGTTTTGCAGATTTTCATTATCTCTGGCAGTGGTTCTCAACCAAGGGTGATTTTGACCACACAGGACACTTGGCATTGTCTAGAAACATTTTTGGTTGTCACCTAGAAAAGTTACTAGGTGTATCTAGTGGATAGAGGTCACTGGTAAATCTCCTAAAATGCATTCTATAACAAGTATTCCCCAAAACAAAGAATTGTGTGACCCAATAGTACCAAAGTTGAGAAACCCCAGTCAGGGGACATTATTCCACTTCTATTTTTTCTTTTAATGACTTTGTACAGAATTTAATGGTGATCCTATTATGTTACTTATTTGCATGTGAAATTAGATTTTCTAAACTTTTAGGAGGAAAGAGTGAACTAGCTTTTCTAACTTTATAGCTTAGATCTTCCTCTGCTATTATTTTTATGAAATGTTTAAAAATTATGGCCTTGTAGTTTCTGAGTGCTTCTGACCACCCCCTCCCCCTGCCACACACACACTTACACTTGTCTCTTTCCTTGGTTTCTGTTATCCCTGCACAGATCAATATGGATTTTCCTTCCAGTGGTTTCTCCTCAATGTGATGCTTTGTTCTAGAAGGGAATTTCACTTGGTTAGTTTTGAGAATCCTTAGGGCCCAGAGTGCCATAATAACCCTTTCTGATTTTACTATTAACCCTTTTCATTTACTTGCAACTTGGAATGTGTAAAAAATATTCCTGTGTCAGCTGCTCTGCTTAAATTGGCCCATCATGCTTGCTTGTGAATAACTGCAGGCTATTTTGGGGATCTCCTGATCTGTGGCCTGTCAGGTGCCATGTTCTTTCCCTATGCTTTCTTTTGCACAGATGCTATTACTACCTATGTCAATGATTTCCCCCCCTTCACATGTATTCCAGGGTTTATGAGGACACCCTGTCACCTAGATTTGGATTTGGATGTTATTCATGGATATTTGGTTTTGCTATCCTGATTTGTCTGTTTTGTACAGGGATTCAGGGAGATTTTTTTTAAAAAAACACAGAACAAAATTATATCTTTAGTTGTCTTCCTAGAATTTCTATATTCTTTAATATTTGATCCTTGGATGATGTTGCTGTAAAGTTTTTTTTTCCATTTGACTATTTTTCCCTTCTCCACACAGCCCTTATACCCACTGCCAGAAAAAATAATTTATGAGATGTGTCTACATAGAATCCTTTTTTTGTAAAGAGATTATAGTGTCTTGGTATCAAGGTTCTGCTGACCTTATAGAACATCTTGGGAAATATTCCCTTTTTTATTTCCTGGAAAACTTTGTGAAAGATTGGTATTATTTTTTCCTTCAGTATTTGAAAAAATTCACCCTTGAAGCCATCTGGACTTTGAGAAGATTTAAATTATGCACTCAATTTATGTTGTAATTCCTTTGGATCTTTGGATTATTTGCAAGTATTGTGCATTTATTTTTTTAACATTTTAGAATTTTCTAGTTAGCTTTCTGTTATTGCTTTCTATTTGGACTGTATTGTGATCACAGAATATTATACTGTATTTGATTTTGTTACCGAAGAATTGCTTTCTCTCATCACCAGTGGGAATAGGGTTCTTGGGGTGCCGCTGGAATAAGCATTTCTGGAGCCCACCACCACCACCACGAGAGGATGAGATGTGGTAAAAGGCTTTATTTTTGTGGAGTTACATTCCTTGGTTTCCAAATTTCCATTTCCCTTAATCCAGTTTTGGAAGAGGTGCAACTGCGTCTTTAGTAGAGCTAGAAGCAAAGCCAGTGTCCAGTTTCTGTTCCATGGTGGAGCCGAGTCTGGCCTAGCATCAGGCATCAGGCTGGTCACAGTCCGTTGGGCAGATCTCACATGGCTGTGAGCCATGTGGGAAAATGCAAGGCATGAGAAACCCGGAAGCCAGGATTCAGACCCGAGCAGCAAGAGGGCTAAGAGAGAGAACCCCCTTTGTTCAGGAACTCAGATTTCCAGCTCTTGCAGTGGCCAAACCTATTCCAGCCAGTTACCTGTTTCTAGGTGTACTGATAGGCAAGCATCTTCCCAGATCACCCAGACCTTACTGGGCATGTGTCTAAACTGCCTTTGTCTAGTCCCTTCCCCCATCGATCTGTGGTGAATAGACCTGCAACCTCCTGGAACAGCTGTATAAATGGCATGCCTATATTATCTAGGCTCCGCTTTGCTCCTTTCCTGTTAAATAATAACCAGCCTTTTGAAATTTTTGAGATTTGCTTTATCACCCAACTTATGGTCTATTTTTGGTTACTGTTTCATATTCACTTGAAAAGTGCATGTTATTTAGCTGTTATTGGGTGTAGTTGTGTATATGTGTATTCTGTGTTGAATTGTTGAATCATGATGTTTAAATCCTCTACAGTTTTACTAATTATTTTGTTTGCTTATTGTATTAACTACTGAGAGAAGAGTGTTAAAATCTTCACTTTTTTGTGGATTCGTCATTTCTTTTTTGAATTCTATCAAATTTTGCTATTTATATTTTAAAGCTAAGTTTAGTGCACAGCAATTTAGATTGCTGCATTAATTGTTTATATTATTGTATTGGCCTCTTTATTATATGTCTCTTTTTATCTTTGATAGCATTACTTCCTTTAAAGTCTACTTTATCTCATGTAGCCATACCAGCAAGCATTCCTTTGGTTAATGTTTGCTTGGTATATATTTTTTTCTGTATGTTTTTCTTTTAGTTTCTCTGACTCCTTATATTTAAATGTATCTCTTATCTCAAATTCAGGCCAGCAATCTTTGTCTTTTAAGCACAGTATTTAATTTGTTTATGTATAATGTGATTATGGCCTGGTTTGGTTTTTAATCTATGCACAATCTTGTTATGTGTTTTTATTTGTCTCATATGCTTTATTTATTCTGTTTTTTATTCTTTTGATTTTGTCCTCCTATTTGTTTTTGTTTGTTTGTTTTTAATCCTCACCCGAGGACATTTTTCAATATTTTGTTCAGATAGCGTGGGAGGGGGAGAGAGAGAGAGAGAAAGGGACACCTCAAGTGGTTGCCACCCACACGACCCAACCAAGACCCGGGACAAATTGCAACTGAGGTACGTGCCCTTGGCGGGAACTGAACCGCGGTCTCTCCGGACCGCAAGCCAACGCTCTAATCCCTGAGCCAAACCGGCCAGGACTTGTTTTTAATTATACATTTTTTACTTACCCCTTTGTTGTGGTTCTATAGATTATAATTTGTATACTTATTTAATTCTACCATAAGGCTCATTTAAATATACCTTAATTTAGTATTTATGTCCCTTCTCAAACCATGCATGTTCTTTGTAACAATATCACTCTTGTATTCCTGTCCATCCTTTTATACTATTGTTATTATGTATTTTATTTTCAGATATCTTATGTAGCTCATAGATATTATTATTATTATTATTGCTAAGCAACCAGTATTCATTTAAATTTACTCAAATTTCATTATTTACAATGCTCTTTATTTCTTCCTGAAGTTATGTAATTCCATTTGATATATTTTTCCTTTATTTATTTCAATATTTATTTAGATTATTATTTTTAAAAATTTTTATTTATTGATTTGAGAAAGACAGGAAGGGGAGAGAAAGAGAGTCATTGATTTATTGTTCCACTTATTTATGCATTCATTTATTCTTGTATGTGCCCTGACCAGGGATAAAATGAGCAATCTTGGTGTATTAGGACCATGCTCTGACCAACTGAGCTACCCATCCAGGGATGTTTTTTTCTTTTTACTGCATTTGTTAGACTCTGCAAAGCAATCTTTAATAATGATGCTATCTGGCATTCTTGTTTCTGATTTCAGTAGACATGATTTATATCAGAACAATAAGGCTAAAGGAGCAAAAACACAAATGCGGCCTCTACCACGCTCAATTTGGGGCAGGGGGCTTGGTGAAGGGAAGATATTTAAAACATGAGTAGCACTGTAGTTTTGTTCTCTATTGACTAGCAAGAAGTAAGAGGTAAAACAACTAACAAATACCTATACACAACTTTTTCCCCGGAAATTAATGGAATCAGGGGCGGTTCCTGCTAACTCAGTGATTTAGTATGACCGTAGGCAACACAAAGGGCCCAGTTGGATTGAAATCAAGACCAATAAGCAAGGTTCTCTGTTTTTCTCCAACCAGTTAAGCCATGTGTGTACAGACATAGTAGGCAGAAAATTGAATTTATGCAGGGTTGGGATTTTGCCATGGGATGAATTGAGGATTTATTCAAGAGAATGATTATAATTATGTACTTTAGAAGGATTTTAATGGGGATGATGGGGGAAAAAAACATGGTAGGTACTGACAGAGTAACATTTTTTAGAATTGGGGTAATAGACAGAAATAGGGTATTAGAAATTAAAAGGTAGAATATTTAACATTGAACATTTTGAGGAGCTGTGATTAATGATAAAATCTCCAAGATATGACTATTGAAATGATTGAAGTGTGGTGAATATAAGATCATTGGAGAGGGACTGAGAAGCCCAGATATTGCAAGGATTATTGATGTAGATATAGAAATCAACTAAATCAATTAAGACAGAATTAGTGTCGGGAAGATCTGATAGTGAGCTAGAAAGTAACATCTTCAGAGAATGAATGGGAGAGACTTGGGGTCTTGTAAATAACTGCAGTGAGTTGTTCTGAGGTAAATCCATTTTCTCCTGGCATCAATTAAAAAGTATGAGAGTTTCTGAGCAACGAGAAGTAATTAGCACATACCAGAAACAAACAAAAGCAGTTAATTAATAATTTCAAAAATACCATTCTAATACATATATATTAGTTTTACTAAAAGGAAAAAGAAACCATTTATTGACCACCCTAGAAATCATTATGTGTAATTAAAATAAAATTTGGCTATCAGCCCAGCCATTGTGGCTCAGTGGATTGAGTGTTGTCTCATGGGTGAGAGGTCCTGGTTCGATTCTGGTCAGGGCACATGCCTGGGTTTCGGCTCTATCCCCAGCAGGGGGTGTGCAGGAGGCAGCCAATCAATGTTTCTCGCTCACATCAATGTTTCTATCTCTTCCTTCCCCTCTCTCTAAAAAAGTCAATAAAAACATATTTTTTTAAAATGTGGCTATCATGCACCTTAATTAATTATTAATTTCTAATGTATAACAGAGCTTAACCAGGTATAAGAATGCAATTTTTGAACTTTGCTCTGAATGCTGTTACAGGTAAAATTGAAGTCACTTTAAATGATTTTTTTCTTTTTTATTTTTTCAGAGATTTCTCCTGAAGGGGAGAAGTACAAACCCTTAATTTCTGAAGAAGAAGAAGAAAAATGTATTTCACTTCAAATGATTCCATCAGCTACTGTTGATTCTGCTGTTGAGACAAACAGTCCAAAGTTTAGGGAGCTATCTCCACAGATATCATTGAAACCAGAAGGAAATCTGGATGGTATGTGTTGATGGATCAAAATGAGCTATGATTTCATTTAATAATATTTTAATTTCTCTTTATAAACAAATCATCAAAATATGTGCATGTGTTTAGTGAGTCATCTCAAATTAGGTTCATATCTTTATACATTAGTAACTGGTCTGGTTTTTTAATTGCCACACAACAGATCATCCCAAAACTTTGTGTTAACAACCATTTTATTATATCTCATAATTTTTGTGTCAGGAATTGAGTCAAGGCTTGGCTAATGTGATTTTTTTTTAATCCATGTGCTTTTGTCTGTGGGTTATCTTGGAATCAGCTGGCATCCAGGATGGTCCGACAGCTCCAAAATGGCTTAAATAACAGGAAGGCGGGGCTAAGCTGGCCCCTCCCCCTCTGCATGTAGCTTCCAGGACTTTCTGTGCACTCTTTCCAGCAAGATAGTCTGACTTTTTATATGGTGGCCCAGGGCTCACAGATACTTAGGTAAAAGCTACTTGTACTCTTAAAAGCTAGTTTCAGAACTGTCACCTTTTCACTTCTGTCATACTTCCTTGGTCAAGGCAGTCAACCAGCCTAGATTCACAAGGAGGAAAAACACCTCTCAAAGGTAAGAATGTTAAAGAATTTGTAGCCATCTAAAACCTACCATAGTCGGCTGTTTGACCAAAATACATGTGCCCCTTCTCAAAGCCTCATCTTATTATGACATTGGCTCAAAGTCTAAAGATGTTATCAATGTCAGACCTATGTACAGTTCTTTCAGTACAGGTACTATCTGATAATTAGAAAAGAAAGTTACTTGCCTTCCATATACCTAATATATAATGGTGAAACAGGAATAGACTCCTTTTCAGAAACAAGAGAAATGGGAAGTATGTAGTGATCATTGGTCCATAGACGTTCTGGAGTCCAGCCAGAAGCAGCACTGTCGACTTGCTTCCCTTGCTCCAGAAGTTGGTGTCCTTAAGGACTCTTCTCTTTTGAACTGTTTCTTTCCCTGGCGGTGCTTCTGCTAGAAGAGTTTTCTTAATTTTGTGGCGTTTTATATGAATATTATTGACATCCATTACATTTGACAAAAGTACTTTATTTGTTTGAAAACTAGTCCTTCTCTACATTGAGTTGCTTGTGAGATTCTGTGAGACAGTGTACTTGAGATTTATAAAAACCTTTTGTCCAGCAAATAGCATCTGTGATACATGCCTTTAAATCTTTCTCTGCCATAACAGATTTTATGGTCACACCTTTGTTGTTGTTGTTAATCCTCACCCAAAGATATTCTTCCATTGATTTTTAGAGAGAGAAGGAGGGAGAGAGAGACACACCAATTGGTTGCCTCCCCCAGGACCTCAACCAGGGCTGAGGATCAAACCTGCAACCCAGGCACATGCCCTTGACCAGGAATCAAACCCACGACCCTTTGGTCCATGGGCCCATGCTTCAACCAGTAAGCCCAATTGGCCAGGGTGTAGTCACACCTTTTACTTCATCTTTCCCAAGACCATATTTTACTGCCCTAAATTTTATGTTGTTTGTTGTTATTTTGTTTTTGGTTTTGTGTGTGTATGTGTTTGCAGCAAAGCAAGCAAGAATTTATTGGAACAAGGAAGGGCTTAGCATAGAAGGAGCAACAGGAGAGCCCAGGCTGGGCTGCTTTGGCTCACTGGGAAGTCAGAGAAAAGGTGCCTCAGAGACAGGTTCTGGGTTAGCCCGGGATGAGCCGCCACTGCCCATTGCTCCCCTGGTTGCAAGTCTCATGGGGACTCTTAGAGTTTAGGAGAGGTACACCTGTGGGGAAAGAACAGGGGGGAAAGGGAAGGCATTGGTGTTCTCCCCAGGGGAAGACCTCGCCTCATGTTTGTCTTGAGGCCATGTCTTCCCTTGAGAAACTTGTTGCCTAGAAGGAATTATCTTGGGTTTTCTCTTCTGAGTTCTCATAAACTAAACAGTTCTTTCTTCAATCAGTCTCTCTCTTGTACTTTATCAGAGACTACTAGAAAACCTAGCTGGCACTTTTAACATTCTACTTACATAGCTCCTTAGCTAGATCATGGAGTCTGTTAAGTACATTTTCTACTGTCCTTGTTTTCACAGGTACCAAATTTTCTGCTGCTTTATAACAAGAATCCCCTTTCTCCACCCTCCAATAACTTTTTTCCACTGGCCAGTCTCTCACCAACAGTCTCTTTGAAGCCCTTTTCACTTCTGCCTATTGCTCAGTTCCAAAGCCAGTGCTCATGGTTTAGGCTTTTGTTATGTCAGCATCCCCATTTTCAGGTATGAAATTCTGTTTCAGTTATCTATTCATGCAAAACAAACTATTCCCCAAACTTAGTGGCTTAAAATTACTATTATATTTTATCTGTCACTTTTATGAGTTAGGAGTTGTGCAGGTTCTTCTCTGCCATGTGGCATCAACTGGTACCACTCAGTGGTATTCATCTGTCAGCTGGGCTTATCTGGAAGGGTGGAAGATGATGTCACTCCTTGTCTAGGCAGAGCTTGGCTGGGCCCACTCAGCTGGGTTCCTTTTCTTCATTTTAGTCTCATGGCCTTGCCATGTGCTCTTTCCTGAATAGTTAAGCTTCTTTCATGATGGCTTTGGCTTCCAGATACCTAGGTGGACAATGCCAGTTCTCTGAAAGGCTAGATCTAGAACTCACATAGTAACATTTCAACTGTACTCAATTGGTCAAGGCAATCACAGTGCTGGCCCAGACTCACGGGGAGGGAAAACAGAGGCCCCTTCTAGATCAGACAAATGTCAGAGACTTGCTGTATGTGTGACCGTATTTTATTTACCACAGTAACATCATAGTCTTATTCACTAGAATCATCATTAGTAGGAATCTTAAGCCTTTCTTTAAAAAGAAAAAAAATACTGTAAGGCATAGAATAGAGGCTGTATAGCCGAGTGCAAGGGTCAGCAAATTTTTTCTAAAGAGAGCCACATAGTAAATATTTTAGACTTTGCAAGCAAAACTATCACAAATCTAGTTTGTAGAATAAGTCAATGTTATATAGCTTAAGGTACTAGAGAACAATTGTTCATTAAAAAGTAAATAAGAAGGATTCCACCAAGTGCTCACCTTGTATGAGTGACCCAAAAAAAGTTATTTGAATAAAAGATAAAAACTTTAAGGATTGAGCACCGGCCGGTTTTCCCAGTGGTTAGAGCATCAGCCCACAGACCAGAGGGTCCTGGGTTCAGTTCCTGCTAAGGGCACGTACCTTGGTTGCAGTTTGTCCCTGGCCCCGGTTGGGGTTGTGTCAGTGGTGATCACTCGATGTGTCTCTTTCACGTCGATGTTTCTCTCTCTCCCTTCCTCTCTCCCTCCCGCTCTATTTGAAGATAAATGCAAAAATGTCCTCGGGTAAGGATAAAAAAACTTTAAGAATTGATATAATATCAGTTATCTTTCTAAATAAGATAGCTAATTGGAAACATTTAAAATCTAGAAGGAAAGAATATCTGAATTTCAGGAAAAAAGAGGGGGTGATGGCTTAAAGAAGATAGCCTTGATCTCTGAATTGGAGGTTAGGGTAGTTGACAAAGAAAGAAAGAAAAGTGCTTCTCACCACTGTTTATTTTCAGAAAAGCTCAACCAGATGAAACACCAGCCACTGCCAGAAAACAGAGGTAGTATTCTGGTTTTCCATTGTTTGAAGGTCTAGGAAATTATATTCAGTGCACTTCAATTATGTTTTCAGTCATTGTAAAAGTCTAGGTAATAGGATTTTTCCCTTTTTTGGTTGTTAAAAGATAGATTTTGATGATTGAACTTTCCTGTGAGTTACTAATCCGTGATATTATAATTTATTCCTCTTCCTTGTTTCTAACCACAGATACTATTATTTTAAAACTAATTTTTATATCTTCTTTTTTAAAAATATGTTTTTATTGATTTTTAGAGAGAGGAAGGAAGAGAGATAGAAACATCAATGTGAGAAACATCTATCGGTTGCCTTCTGCACACCTCCTGCTGGGGATCGAGCCCACAACCCCGGCATGTGCCCTGACCAGGACTCAGACCAGGACCTCTCAATCCATGGGACCATGCTCAATCCACTGAGCTACACTGGCCGGGCTAATTTTTATACCTTCTATAAAACAATTTCCACATTACTGAAATTGTAAGGAAGAGAAAATTTTATATACTAATAAAAATTCAGTGTACAATATTTCTTTTTAGTATTTTTATTGCAGTGAAAAATGCAAAAGGAAAACTATCATTTCAAAAGCAGCTAAACTAGAGTTAGTACAACAGTAAGATTAAAGATCTATAAATAAGCCCTGGCCAGTTTGGTTCAGTGGTTAGAGCGTTGACCCGTGGACTGTAGAGTCCCAGGTTCGGTTCTCACTAAGGGCACGTACCTCAGTTGTGGTTTGTCCCCGGCCCCGGTTGGGGTCATGAGGGCGGCAGTCAGTCAGTGTGTCTCTCACACATCAATGTTTCTCTCTCTCTCTTCCTCCCTCTCTCCTTCCTGCTCTATCTGAAGACAAAATGCAAAAATGTCCTCAGGTGAGGAAATAAATAAATAAATATCTATAGATAAAACATTTACTTTTTCCTGTTATAATTAATATATTAGACTAAAACTGGGTAATGATAATTTATAGAAATGTATTCTATTTTCTCTAAACTAGTTTTGCTTTAAGATATGTTTTTATTATGTTTTTGCTTTTCAGAACCTGATGACTTGGACACAGAAGTTCTACAAGAGCCAAGTGGAGCAAACAAAGATGGTAGCTTACCTTGCCCTGTTATCGACGGGTGGATTAGTGAGATTAAAGAAACAAAGGAAAATGAGTATGTTACCTCTTTTTTCTTGCATGTCAAAACCTGGGTTCATTTTGTAATTCCCTTTTAAGAAATACTGTAATAATCTAATTTTATACTGTAAACTATTTTTATAATACCTTATAAAATAATTTAATATTTGGATATTACATCAATGTGGTTCAGAAATAAAGTATATAAAGACATACAGTAAAAAGTATCTTTTCCACCTCTATCCCCATGTAGCAAAATCGCACTCTCTCCTCCTTGCAGATATTTTTGTTGTTGTTAATCCTCACCCAACGATATTTTCCCATTGATTTTTAGATGAAGAGGGAGGGAGGATGAGAGATATATAGAGAGAGAAACATCAATGTAAGAGAGACACATCCATTGGCTGCCTCCCTCATGAGCCAGGGATCGAACCTGCAACATAGGTATGTACTCTTACCATGAATCAAACAGAAAATCAAACCCTCAACTCTTTGGTCTGCAGGTCAACGCTTTAATGAATGAGCCACACCAGCCAGGGCAAAACTACTTAGATTTGAGATGGATTAAAAGTATTAAAAAAATAGCCCTGGCCAGTTTAGCTCAGCGGTTAGAGCATTGGCCTGCGGTCTGGAGAGACCCAGGTTCGGTTCCCGCTAAGGGCATGTACCTCGGTTGCAGTTTGTCCCTGGCCTTGGTGGGTTGTCCCTTTCACATTGATGTTTCACTCTCTCTCTCTCTCTCCCTCCCACTCTATCTGAACAAAATATAAAAAAAAAAAAAAAAGTCCTCGGGTGAGGGTAAAAAAATAAATAAATAAATAAAAACTGCCTATAAATCAAACCCCCAGATATAAAATACTGGTACCTTTTGGAATATATTCTTCTAGTCCAGTGATTTTTCAACCCTTTTCATCTCATGACACATATAAACTAATTACTAAAATTCTGTAGCACACCAAAAAACATATTTTTGGCCTATCTGACTAAAAAAAAAATAGGTATAATTTTGATTCCTTCACACCAGATGGCTTTTGTTGTGTTGGCTGTTGTCATTTATTTTTACTTGACAATCTAAGGGAAAAGAGGTCAGTGCCCCTGACTAAATAATCAGATATTGCATGTTTTAAAATATTTTGCAGCACACTGGTAGAAAATATCTGTTGTAATCTTTAAATTTATGTTAAAAAATATACATTTATTTAATTTCCAGCTATGTTAAAATAAAAATTGATTTCTTCTTTACCTTTGGTCCTCAATTCACTCCCTATGAGGGTTAAAACGTTTTTGTTCATATCTTTCTACTCTTTTCACTTTGCTACACACCATTTTTTCAAAATCTAACCTAATACCATTTAATACAAATTGGGCCCTGGCTGGTTTGGCTCAGCGGTTAGAGCATAGGCCCACAGACCAATGAGTCATGCGTGCGATTACAGTCAAGGGTACATACCTTGGTTGCAGTTTGTCCCCAGCCCTGGTCGGGTCATGTGGGAGACAGCCAGTCAGTGTGTGTCTGTCACATTGATGTTTCTCTCTGTCTCTCTCTCTCTCCCTTCCTCCCACTCTATCTAATGATAAATAGAAAAATACCCTTGGGTGAAGAATAAAAAAAATGCAAATTGGCCTATAAATTCTTTGTTTTACTTAATAATATATTTTGACTATCATACCATATCAGTTCATATAGATGTCTGCTTCATTTTTTAAATAGCTATATGATATTTCATAGTATTACTATATCACAATTACTTTCTTCTCTGCTATTAAGGGGCATTTTGATTACTTGAAGTAGTTCTCAAACATTAGCAAGCAGTAGAATTGCTTTCACATTTGTTAAAATAAATTGCTTGACCTTATCCCCCAAAGTTTTTGATTAACAGGTGTATTGTGGGGACTGAGAATTTGCATTTCTAACAAGTTTCTGTGTGTGTTATCTGGGGGCCATACTTTGGGAATCACTGTTATAAGAAATGATGAGGCTGGTTTTTGTGAATGATTATGATTGGTAAATGTTTGAACGGGGTAAAAAATACACTGCTTATGAGAGAAAGTGTACATATAAGTGAGAAAAATATTTGAAGAGGGATCACAGCATGCTAGTAAACTTGAGTTCTATTTTTTTTTTTTTTTTTTTTGAGAGTGCTATTTCTAGTAAACTGGTTTATCTATATGTGGCAGATTAGAAGATAGGATCACCATTCAGCTAAATGAAGTTTCTGAAGATGGAATCTCAAATGTCGACCAACTTAGTGAAGTTCAAATAGGTAAGCAGCCTTGTATTGGTCTAATTGCTTTCTGGAAGGTTGTTAACACTAATTTGTTTTATTTGGGCAATATAGTAATAGAGAGTATTCCTTATCAGGCACCTCAATCATTTAAAATATGGCATAGACATAGAGCACTGGACTCTGCATTTAAAAACCTGGATTGTTTGACAATGTGAGCAATAAAACTTTTAGATCAGTTATTTTATTGAATGTTCAAAATGAAAAGAATTGCTTCCCAAAACTAAGCCAGTATACTAAGGACATTCAGTAAGTTGTTCTCTTATTTTCAGTAGTATTAATTAAAATATAAGAAGCATACTTTTTTATATCTAACCTATAGGAACAAAGATAAACCTAAACTAAATATGAGTGTATAAACAGTGTTTCTTCACATTTTCTTGCATTTGTGTGTACATTTTAGAATCTACAATGTGATGGAAGTATATCACATTAAATCTGCTTTCTGAAAATGAACACTGTATCCTGTTAAAGGTTATTTACAAGATAGTATAACAGCAGGTCCTCTAATAACAAACATTGTTTGGTTTTGATGTCATTTCTTTATAACATTGATGAGACATAGTAGGAACTTAACTCTTGTTTATATCAGCCTCTTGTAAAATTGGTTTTGTTATATGTCGTTTTGGTTAAAGTTGCAGAACCTATTGGCAACATTAGTTAGGTTTTACTGTATAGGTTTTGAGAATTACTGTATAGGTTTTGATTTTGTTTTTCTGATAGACATGAAGTTTTGGGGTGTTTTTTTTTTGCTAGAATTTGTATTAAATACTGTGACTTATCAATATAACTTAGAACTTTTATTCAAGTACTATATAGACTTATCGCATAATCTTTCCTTTATACCACAGAACCTGGAATAGATGATCCTCAGCACTCTAAAAGTGATGTAGATAAATCTATGCAGCCAGAACCATTTTTCCATAAAGTGGTTCATCCTGAACATTTGAATGTAGTGTCTCAAATTCAATCAATTCTTTATTCACCAGAAGAATCCTTTCCACTTCGATCTCGCTCTGATTCACCACCAAAAAATAAAAACAAGAATTCCTTGCTGATTGGGCTTTCAACTGGTTTATTTGATGCAAACAACCCAAAGGCAAGTATGCTCCTCACATGGAAAATGTTATTCATTTGGTAACATTGTTATGGATTAGTTTTCTTTGATAAACCATAATATTGAGTTTTAATCCTTTAAAGACACAAACACGTATATTCAGACACACATCAACAATTTACAAAAACAACAAAAAACCTGTTTTATCCTCTGAGATACTGAAAATAGTCACGACAAAGACTCTTTCATTGGCTCCCTGTTCAAGATTCTTTTTATAGGGTTTTCTTTTTATTTAGCAAAATATCCTTGTTACACCCTCTTTTCCACTACCCAATCCAACTTTCAATTTTAGTATGAAAGTAAGTTTAGGCAGTATATCTTAAATGGATAGAAGTGCCATATTGCCTAATTTGTACATAGAAAGATTAATAGATGTCCATATGTACTTTCTGATAAAAGTTTTTCAAACTTCTTTTCTCACTTGCTAAATATGTAAACATTTTTTCTTGATAAGAAATTAGAACATGATCTCTATAGAGAGTTTTAAAATACAAATGAAGAAAAAATCACATATCATTTTGTTATGTTACTTTTCATATATATAATTTTTATCTATATAACTTTTTACCAAAATAAGATATAGGCATATTCTTTCTCAACTGCTTTTCTATGTAGTATGTATTGTAATCTTATTACAAATATTACTACTACAAAAAAAGTATTTTTTCATATTGTTAAATAGTCTCTTATATTTAATGACCATAAATTCCATTTGTTCTGCTATATCATAATTTTTAAACCAATCTATTTAGGTTTGGGCCTTTACATTTCAATTTTTATGATCGCCACCCCCTACATCTGTGTCTTTGTACATATCCACAATTATTTCCATAAAATAAATATCTATAAGTGAAATTCAAAAAGTTATATATTTCCAGATTTCCCCAGCAAGAACAGTTTATTGCTCAGCTGGTGTGGCTCAGGTGGTTGGCATTCATTTTCCGCTCAGGGCACAGTCCCGGATTTCCTGCTCAGTCCCCAGTTGGGGTTGTGCAGGAGGCAGCTGATCAGTGTTTCTCTCTCACCGATGTTTCTATCTTTCTCTCCCTCTCCCTTCCTCTCTCAGAAATCAACAAAAACATATTAAAAAAAAAACAGTTTATAATGCCATCAATGGTATGTGAGAGTCTGTGCCCTAAATGGCACCAACTACTATCATTTACTTAAATATTGTGTGTTAAATGAATGAGTAATAATGTTAATTTTTTTAAACTTGTATTTCTATATTTCCCAGTAAGGTTTAACATTTTTTATATATTTATTTAGATATGAAATAATTGCCTGAATTCTTTTGTCCTTTATTGGTTTTTATTTTTATTTATTTTTTAATTTTTTTTATTGATTTGAGAGAGAGAGAGATTGAAACATCCATGAGAGAGAACATCTACTGTCCGCCTCCTGCACCCCCCCCCCCCCACTGGGAATTTGGCCCACAACCTGAGCATGTGCCCTGACCGGAAATCAAACTAGTGACCTCTTGGTGCATGGGTCGATGCTCAACCACTGAGCCACACCAGCTGGGCCCTTTATTGGTTTTTATTTATTTATTTTATCCTCACCCAAGGACATTTTTGCATTTATCTTCAAATAGAGTGGGAGGGAGAGAGGGAGGGAGGGGGGGAGAGAGAGAGAAACATTGACATGAAAGAGACAAATTGAGTGGTTGCCACCCACAGATCCCAGCTGGGGCAGGGACAAACTGCAACCGAGGTATGAGGTTCGTGCCCTTAGCGGGAACTGAACTTGGGCCTCTGTGGTCTGTGGGCCGACACTCTAACCACTGAGCCAGACTGGCCAGGGCCCTTCCTTGATTTTTCAATATGTCATTTTGATTTTCAAATTAATTTTCCAATTACATAAGTTTTTATTTTGTGTAGTATTTTTTTATGCTTATCTTAAGTGTAGATATTGCTAAATACTCTCATTTATCTAATAGATGTTCAAAGATATAAACTTGATGTATCCTTGATGGGACAGACAAGGATTGTCATATAACTCATGCACTTCCTTTTGTAGTAAAGATGTCTTTAGTCCAAAGCTTTTTAAAAACTCATTACTGTCTTTAAAGTTACTACTCCTTACATAATACATTCAATTATTTTCTTTTCTTTTGTGACCTTAGTTTTAGCCTCACTAGTTCTATAAATGTACTTTCTCTGGAAGTAAACACAGCACAGCAGATTTCATGTTAGAGGGAAAGGCAAGAAAAAAAATTAGAAAATCAAATCAATGTGTTGCCATTTCAGGCAAGGACAAAAACCATATTTACCTATTCCATAAATCTCTGAAATATGAGATTTCATCACTGGGCCAAAATAGTAAGTAATCATTTTATAATGATGGCCTTGAAAGATTTCTGTATAAAGTTCTTTTTTTAAAATGTTAAGTTACACTCTTTGTGTTATTTTTTTTATTAAAGGAACTCCATCTTGTGCTTTGGATCCTAACCTCTCTCACCTTCTGAAGAAATTCACTCCCTTTACTTTTATCATTCTAACCTGTATCATCACCTTCATCCTGTACAGTGGATTTCCTCACCATCATGTGTTGTTGACTCCCATCATAAATACGAACTCCATTTGAGCACATGCCCTCTAGCAACCACCTCATTTCTCTGATTCCTTCTAAACCAGACATCTTAAACATGCTGCATCTTTGCAGTCTCCACTTCCATTTGCTATCCTGTAAGTTCTAATACGGTTTTCAGCCCACTGCTTACTAAAATTGCTCTTGTCCAATCATCAATTACTGGTATCTTATCAAATTCTCTGTACCTTTTTCTCTCTCACCTTTCTTTACTTTTCTTCCTTCAGTAGACTTGATATATACTTTACTTTTTAAATCATTTTTCCTGTTGGCTTCCTTTATGTCATAATTTCCTAATTTTTCTCTATTCTCACAAGTCACTTTTGAATTTCCTCTGCTTGCAGCTGCTAGTATTAACAGATCTCTGTAAAAAAAAATGTGTGTTATGCCCTGGCCGGTTTGGCTCAGCGGTTGGAGTGTTGGCCTACAGACCAGAGAGTCCTGGGTTCGGTTTCCACTAGGGGCACGTACCAAAAAAAAACAAAACAAAAGAATGTGTGTTATTCTCTCACTGGGTGAAAAGTTCTGTGAATGTCAAGAATTAAGCAAATTGGTTGATTGTGTGGTCCAAGTCTTTATCTTTACTGATTTTTTGGTCTACTTTAAATATCAGTTGCTGAGAAAAGTAAATGGTAAATGTTAACTACACTTGTATAATTATTTTTACTTTCAGTTGTGTCAGTTTTTGTTCCATGTATTCTGAAGTTCTGCTATTGTGTGAATAAAAATTTAGTCTTGTTATGTCTTTTGGATAAATTAATGTTTACTATTAGGAAGTGTTCCTCTTTGATAGTATTATTCAAGTCTTCTATATCCTTACTGACTTTCTTTCTATTTATTTATCATTTACTGAGAAAGGAGTGTTGAAATTTCCAGTCAGTTGAATGTAAATTAATAATCTTCATGTCTTCTTGATGAATTAGCCCCCTTATCATTATGAAATAACTCAGTTGTTTTCCCGGTCATATCACCTTGTTCTGAAATCTACTTTGTCTCGTTTTAATATAGCCATTCCACCTTTCTTATGTTTAATATTTATATTTTATATATTTAACATCCTTTACTTTAATCAAATTTATATTTAAAATAGATTTCTTGTAGTTATGTAGTCGGGTTTTGCTTTTTAACCATCTGACTGATGATCTTGTAATTAGTGTGATTAGACCATTTAGATTTAATGTAATTTTGGATATTTTATCATTATGATTGAATTTAAACTTATTTTGCTATATGTTTTCTATTTTTCTCATCATTTCTTTTGTTTTTTACTTTTATTCTCTCCTTTTGGATTGAATATTTTAGTATTTTATTTCATCTGTACTATTTTCCTACAAGGTAGATGTTAAAAGTATTTAGTAATAATTCTTAGTTTTCACAGTTTTTTCTTAATATTATCACAGTTTTTCTTCATATAATATGATACCAATTCACATATAAGAACCTTACAACAGTATACTTTGGTTTCCACTCTCTTAGTGATATTGTTGTCATATATTTTATTTCTGTTATATGTTATAAACTCCACAAAACATTTCTATTGTTTATGCTTTAAACATTGTTATCTTTTATAGAAAGTAAAAATTGAGAAAGTCTTTTGTTTACATATTTACTATTTCTGACATTCTTCATTTCTTTGTGTAGAATTCAGGTTTCTATCTGGTATTTTCTTCAACTCTAAGCATCCCCTTTATCACTTCTTGCACAGCACTGTTTGTAACAATTTTTTTCAGCTTTTGTTCATTTAAAAATATTTTTATTTTACTTGCATTTTGAAGGGATATTTCCATTGAATCTAGACTTACATTGTTTTTTGGGTTGCATTGCTTCTGACAAGAAACACTGTAAATGCGGTAGCAGTTTTCACAGCGTCTATGTAGTAGAATGATGTGATAAAATTGAGAGTATAACACTTAAAAGAAGATCACTGAGGCTAAATTTGTAAAAGGTCAAAATAAAATAGTCTAAAGATGTGATCTTCTCATGATTTGACTTATGTAAAAACATAATGTAGGTTCCCAAATGAAAAAGCTACTTGTCCTTCCCTTTAGTCCTTCCTTCTTTAGGGGACAGTGAATAATAAGTGAAGAGAAACCAGATGTGTTCCACTGATACTTTTCTCATCTGGAGAGTGGTGTGGAAAACCGATCTCTATGAATACTTGAGAATTTCTTTTTTTGTTACAACAAATACAAGATGGGAGAAAATATTAATATCAATTCACAACTAACACATGTACCTTAAGTGTCTTCTTTTGATTTGCTGAAATATCAATTCTTAGATAATGTTCATAATTTTTGCCTTTGGTAAGTGCTCATAATTTTTAAATTAGTATTTTAAATTCATTTTTAACCCGGTTTATGGGTTGGAGTGAGCAAATATTTGTAGAAGCTATATATTTTTTTATCCTCACTTGAGGATTTTTTAAAATTGATTTTAGAGAGAGGGGAAAGGAGAGAGAAAGAAACCCGCAACCTAGGTATGTGCCCTGACCGGCAGTCGAGCCTGCAACCTTTTTGGTGTACAGAACAACGCTCCAACCAACTGAGCCACCAGGTCAGGATTGTAGAAGCTATTTTGTGGGTGCAGTGTTGTACTTTATTTACAGTAAACAGAATCTAAACAAATGTGCTCATTATAAACCATTTCATAGTATAACCAGAGTATTAGTAATTTATAATTTTATATGAAAAACACTACAGATGAAAAGGTGAGTTGACGATTTTTTCAAGTAGAATTCGTGTGAAGTTCTGTTAGTGCAACTAATATTAATTCATTTACTGTGTTAGCGTGGCTTTCTTCATTTTTGAGAAAGAAATAGAACTAAACCAACAATAAAAGTATCTAAAGGAAGCATATTTCTTTTAATGTTTTAAAGGTTTCTTAAACATTGCTGTCCTGTTTGATTTATAATATCATTAAATGCTATCTGTGTAAAATCATGCTCTAAAGAATCTAGAAAAATTTAGTCTGACTATAAAGACCTCAGGCAACATGTTATTGCTATTTTCAGGAAGATATGATTGTTAAAACTAGAATATTACTTTAACAACATGAAAAAAACACAGTAGAATCAAAATGATAGAACTGGAAGCTTTCTTATGTAAAATTTTCTGACTAAAGATGTATATCCTATTTAAAACTTTAACATGTTAGTCTATCAGAGAAGACAATGATTTTTAACATAGTTGTTGGGTTGGTAGGTGTGTAAACCCATTCTGAGAAGAAGGTTGTCAAATTACATACCACTTGAAATTTCTTCCTAACTGTGTTGTGTTTGGTTATGAAAGTTATTTTAATTCGTGAAGGGAATAAATTAGAATTGAAATGATTTTCCAGGGCTCAAATTGATGTCAACCTAAAAAATACTGCATTGTACCTGGCCAATGTGGCCGAGGGGTTGAGCATTGACCCATTCACCAGGAGGCCCTCAATTCGATTCCCAGTCAGGGCACATGCCCAGGTTGCAGGCTCATTCCCCAGTGTGGAGTGTGCAGGAGGCAGCTGATCAATGTTTCCCTCATCACTGATATTTCTAGCTCCCTCTCCCTTTCTCTAAAATCAATAAAAACATATTTTAAAATATATATATTTTATCATTTTGTAGTTGCTTTGTATTTAGGTGTGTAATGCATATAAACTATTAATTTTTTCTTCTTTTTAATCACATATGTGCCCTCCTCTATCTCCACTCCCCCCATACGATCACCCCACTGTTCTGTGTCCATGACTATATGCTATTAATTTTTATTGATTAGCATGTATATGAAGAAACTGTTATTGGGTATATATTTTGCATAATGCTGGTTTATAATGTACATGGTTCAAAATGTTAAAATAATAAGTCAAGGATAAATTTTGCTAACAGTTGGAGATTCAGCAAAAGACATAATTTCAAGACTATTAAGTGTTTTAACAAGCAGTGTATCTTCATCTTGTCATTTGTAACCATTTTTTCCTTTTGAGTGCTATACTATGTAAATTATGTTCAAATAATGGAAATTTATCCTTTTTTATTCTGAAGAACAGACTGTACCAGTAAAATTGGCCAAGTATATACATTTTCATTAATATGCTAAACATTATGTTTTCATAGTCTCCCATCTGGCGTAGGGTTCTTATCAGGGCCTTGGGAGTCATGTTTCTGATCTCACAAATTCCTTTAGGGTTAACCCAACCCTGAGACTTATATAATTGGTATTGGTTTTGTAGTACTGTCTACTCATTGGCATCCTATTCTAATTGTTGAAAGGTTGCTGGACAGAAGCTATTTCTAATATCCCTAGTCTTATCCAACACAAATTCATATTTTAAACACCTCAGCTATATACATAGTTTTTTCTCAGCTCAGTTTGCTGAGTTCCTTCCCACCCTGCTCCTACAATGATTCTCAGCATGGAAGGACCTGTCTTTTTAGCCTTCCATAGTGGGAAAGGCTCCACTCACAGTCCCTTGCTCAGGGAAGCATTGTTAGGCATTTTTTTTGCACTAATTTGAGGTCCCTGGTTTAACCAGTGTTGGCTAGCCAGCATCTCCGAGTGATAAAGTGATAAGAAGAGCCACCAATCATGTATAATGGTATTTAGCCAAACCTCAGACTAACTCCAGGATTTGGGCAAAAATATATACAGAGGGTTGACCAGAGGAAAGTAGAGGAAGACATAGAAGAGATACTGTGAAAGGGGGCAATATGGACCACGAGTGAGAAGGAGCAAACTGGCAGTTTCTGGCACTGCCTGCTTCCTGACAGATTTCCAATTCCATACCATGCATACATCTCAAAAAACTGCCTCTCCCTACCTTCAAAAGACAACTGTAGCCCTGGCCAGTTTGGCTCAGCGGTTAGAGCGTCGGCCTGTGGTCCAGAGAGACCCGGGTTCGGTTTCTGCTAAGGGCACGTACCTCGGTTGCAGTTTGTCCCCGGCCCTGAATGGATCGTGCAGGTGGCAGCCACTCGATGTGTTCTTTTCACATCGATGTTTCTCTCTCTCTCTTTCTCTTTCTCCCTCCCACTCTATGTGAACAAAAAATGGAAAAGTGTCCTCGGGTAAGGATAAAAAAAAAAAAAAAAGGCAACTGTGTTGAAACCTATATGTGCTGTATCCCAAACACAACTCACGAGTTTAGTTTCCTCACTGAAATTCAAAAGAATTAGTTCTCACCTTGGACAAGTCAGCCCTTACTATATATCATATATAATAACGAAATTATTATTAGCTCTAATTTTCTAACTCTTTGTTGTTATTTTCTAATTGTCGTACTCCTAATAAGAAATCTATTGACTTTTCTTAGATGCTGAGGACATGTTCACTTCCAGATCTCTCAAAGCTGTTCAGAACACTGATGGACGTTCCCACGGTAGGAGATGTACGTCAAGACAATCTTGAAATGGACGAAATCGAAGATGAGCACATTAAAGAAGGACCTTCTGATTCTGAAGATATGTAAGCATGATATCATTAACAGTAACACTAACAGAATTTCTGAATTTATATATGTTCTAGAGAGGGTAAGTTACCCAGACAGTTTTTAAAAATGATCTGTAGCTAGCTTTTTACTACTCCTTTAACTTTTTACAACATAAAGTACAGTTATGCAAATTTTGATATGTATTTCTGCCTCTACATTGTATAACTTCATCTCACTTGAAAATATAAGAAAATGGTTTCTATTGGTGTTCTCTGTCTTATTCACCTGTTAGCATTCAGCACAAGGGCTTACACCTGGCAGGTGCTTAATAAATATTAAGTGAATGAATGTTAACAGGTTAATGACTAATTTAATAGTGTAACACCATATGATACAGGATTGCAATGGGAATTTGTGAAGTACCTACTTACTACACTACAGTTCCCCAGGAAGATGACCAGAAAGCTCCATCCACATCTGTCTCCTGATGTGAATTTTGTCAAAACCATGGCAGTGGGAGTTAGGGGGTGGAATAGTTGTCTGGTTTGTGTGTGTGTGCATGTGCTTACAAGTGTGTTCTACATGTAACTTAATTGCTTTCACAAAATTCCTTTCTTCACGATTCATGGGGAATCTAAAATCTAGGAGGGTGTTTTTTTTTTCTTTGATTTTAGAGAGGACGGGGGAGAGAGAGAGAAAAATATCGATGAGAGAAAACATTGATTGGCTGCCTCCTGCATGCTCCCCACTGAGGATCGGGCCCACAACCTGGGCATGTGCCCTGACCAGGAGTCGAACTGGCGACCTCTTGGTGCATGGGTTGGTGCTCAACCACTGAGCTACACCAGCTGGGCTAGGAGGGTGATCTAACCAACACCTATGAGAGTGGTGGGAAGTGATGGCCCTTTAGATGGTAGACCTGCTTTGTGTTCTTTGATATCAGTCAGCCTTCTCAGCCCTTCAGACAAGTGTTACAAACTTTGGGGGGGTAAATAAAACCAGAGTACCCTGGAATAAACTGCTTGAGAAGATACATATATTTAAGTCACCAGGAAATACATTACAAAATATTAGAATTTGTATGATTTATTTTCTGACTTTCTTACTTAATTTTCTCCTTTGTACTTCTGCTGTTCAATGGAAAGAACTTGTGTTTTGGTCTGATTGAAAGCATTAGATCAGTCTCTTGATTTTTCCCCTTGTAATACTTGAGCCTGGGCTACTTCATTTGCTACATTTCATTTTCTTTCTTTGTTTTTCTTAAGTTTTGCCTCTTAAATGACTAACCAAACGTTATCATTTAAATCCTGTTTTTTTATTTTCATTTTTCAGAGTTCTGTTAGAATTTTGTTGGTGCCCTCAAAATTTAGAGGAACAATGACCTTTTTATCCTTATTTTCTTCTGCTTTGCTGTGGTCATTAAGCATTTTAACTATCTTTTTATTAAGCCTTCTGGAAAACACATTTCAACATCTTTATGGTTGATGAAGTGTTTTGCTAGGTAACAGTTGTTCCTCAAAGTTTTTATAAAGTCAACAGATTTTGTCTGAGTGAACAATAGCTTATTTGTGGCTTGTGTTCTTTTAATTACTAGTTGATTACAATTTTAAAATTTAAGTTAGAAGCTTTTAACATGATTTTTTAAAATTGAAAACTACGTTTTTTTGTTTGTTTTGGTAATCTTCACCTGAGGATATTTTTCCATTGATCTTCTTTTTAGATAGAGTAGTAAGGGTGAGAGAGAAAGACAGACAGACATCTATTTGAGAGAGACTCATTGATTGGTTGCCTCCCGCACAACCCCGACAGGGGCCTGTAATCGAACCTGCAACCCAGGTATGTACCCTTGACCAGGAATCAAACCCAGGACCCTTTGGTCTACAAGCCAGTGACCTAACCACTGAGCAAAACCAGCCAAGGCCTAAGTTATTTTTTAAAGTTATTCCATGTCTATACAGGAAAATTTCACTTGACATTTTCTTTGGGGGGAGAAAAACTTTTTTTGGATTCAAACTTTACCCAAGATTGTATAATAAGAAGCCTACTAAAAAGTGAATTTGGGACCAGGTTGTAAAGTACCTGAGATAATTTTTGAATGTTCATTTCATAAAAGATCTTAATTTCATATTTTCCATACAATGGTAGACTAGCAGCCATGCCTGGTATTTTTTTGTTTTTGTTTTTTGTTTTGTAACAGATGTTTCTCCTTTTTTCTCCCATTGACACCCTCCTCCCCATCACCCCCACCCCATACCCAGCTTTGTTGTCCATGTCCATTGGTTATGTGTACATGCATGTAAGTTCTGTGGTTTCTCTTTTCCCTCCCCCACCACCCCCTCTTCTGAGGGTTGTCAGTCTGCACCCTACTTCCATGTATCTGGGTCTACCCTATTCCTCAAACTGTTATGTTCATTATATTCCATATATAAGTGAGATCATGTGGTATTTGTCTTTTTCTGCTTGGCTTGTTTCGCTTAGGATACTTTCCAGGTCCCTCCATGTCGTCTCAAAGGATAAGACATCTTTCTTTCTTACAGCTACATAGTACTCCATTGTGTATATGTACCACTGCTTTTTTATACTTTCGTCTACTGATGGATACTTGAGCTATTTCCAGATCTTAGCTATTATAAATAGTGCTGCTACGAACATATTCTTTCTGATTAGTGTTTCAGGCTTCTTAGGGTATATTCCTAGAAGTGGGATCACTGGGTCAAATGGCAATTCAATTTTTAATTTTTTGAGGTAACACCATAGTGTTTTCCATAGTGGCTGCACCAGTCTGCATTCCCACCAACAGTATACAGTGATACCTCGGTTCTCGAACGCCTTGACTTTCGACCAAATCGGTATTCGACCAGGAGATTCGAGAAACTTTTGTCTTGGAATCCGAACAAATATTTGGAACTCGAACTTCCGAGATGAGCCGAGTTGAGCCGAATGGTGTTCATTCGGCCCAGCGCGCCTTGCTTGCGTCATCAGTGTGAGTGCAGAGAGAGAGTCACGCTTTGTGGAGAGAGTCACGCTTTGTGGAGAGAGTCACGCTTTACACTGAATTTAACCCTTAGACATACTGTACACTTTTATTTCTTGTTGAGACTTATGTTTTTCTACATATTATATACAAATTAGGCCAGTAAATAGGCATTTTCTGGGGCTTGGAACGAATTAATCCAGTTTCCATTATTTCCTATTGGGTTTCATTGCTTCGGTTCTCGAACAATTTGGTTCTCGACCGTCCTCCTGGAACGAATTATGTTCGAGAACCGAGGTATCACTGTACTAGAGTCCCCTTTTCTCCACACCCTCGCCAACACTTGTTGTTTGATGATTTGTTGATGGTGGCCATTATGACAGGTGTGAGGTGATACCTCATTGTTGTTTTAATTTGCATCTCTCTGATGATAAGTGATGTTGAGCATTTCTTCATATGTCTCTTAGCCATTTGTATGTCCTGTTTGGAGAGGTGTCTATTTAGCTCTTCTGCCCATTTTTAAATTGGGTTCTTTGTCTTTTTTTTTTGTTGAGTTGTATGAGCACTCTATATAGTTTGGAAATTAACTCCTTATCTGATATATCATTGGCAATGATGCTCTCCCATATACTGGGTTGCCTTTCCATTTTGATGGATGTTTCTTTTGCTGTGCAGAAGCTTTTCAGTTTGATGTAGTCCCATGTGTTCATTTTTTCCTTTGTTGCCTTAGGTGATGTATCAGTGAAAATTCTGCTGTGTGTGATGTCTGAAACTTTGTTGCCTACATTTTCTTCTAGGATTTTTATGTATTCACGGGTCACGTTTAAGTCTTTTATCCATTTTCAGTTTATTCTTGTGTATGGTGTAAGTTGCTGATCTAGTTTCATTTTTTTGCATGTAGCTGTCCAATTTTCGCAACACCATTTGGTAAAGAGGTTGTCTTTACTCCATTGTATGTTCTTGTCTCCTTTGTCAAATATTAATTAAGCGTAATGTCTTGGGTCCATTTCTGGGTTCTCTCTTCTGTTCCACTGGTCTATATGCCTGTTCTTGTACCAGTACCAGACTATTTTGATTACAGTAGCTTCGTAGTATTACCTGATATCTGGTATTGTGATCCCACCTACTTTGTCCTTCTTTTACAAGATTGCTGTGGCTATTCAGGGTCTTTTTTGCTTACATGTGAACTTTTGAAGTATTTGTTCCAGTTCTATGAAATATGTCGTTGGTATTTTGCTGGGGATTGCATTGAATCTATAGATTGCTTCGGGTAATATGAACATTTTAATTATGTTAATTCTTCCAATCCATGAACAGGGTATATGCTTTCACTTTTTTATATCTTCCTTTATTTCTTTTTTCAATGTCCTGTAGTTTTCTGCAAATAGGTCCTTTACTTCTTTGGTTAAGTTTATTCCTAGGTATCTTAATTTTTTTGCCACGATGGTAAATAGGATTTTTTTTTTTTTTTTTTTTTTATCCTCACCCGAGGACATTTTTCCATTTTTTTGTACAGATAGAGTGAGAGGGAGAGAGAGGAAGAGAGAGGGAGAGAGAGAGAAACATCGACGTGAAAGGGACACATCGAGTGGCTGCCACCCGCATGATCAACCAGGGCCGGGGACAAACTGCAACCGAGGTACATGCCCTTAGCGGGAACCGAACCCGGGTCTCTCTGGACCACAGGTCGACACTCTAACCGCTGAGCCAAACCGGCCAGGGCAGGATTTTTTTTTAGTTTCTCTTCCTGTGAGTTCATCATTGGTGTATAAGTATGCCATTGATTTATTGATGTTAATTTTGTATCCTGCTACTTTGCCAAATTTATTTCTTAAGTCTAGTAGATTTTTGATGGAGTCTTTAGGCTTTTCTATGTATAATAACAGGTCATCAGCAAATAATGACAGTTTCACTTCCTCATTTCCAATTTATTTTTACTTAATGTCTGATTGCTCTGGCTAAGACTTCCAGTACTATGTTAAATAAGAGTGGCAAAAGTGGGCATCCCTGTCTTGTTCCTGTTCTTAAGGGAAATGCTGTTAGTTTTTGCCCATTGAGTAT